GCCCTCTCTCCCTTTCTCCCTTGCTCCCTCTCTCTCTCTTTGTGGAGCCCAGGCAGGACTGGGTTTTGCAGCCAGGTGAGCATCCTGTGCTCACCCATCTCATCTCCTGAGAGCTTTCCGAGCTGCAGGTGCCGCTGAGGGTGGCTGAGGGGTGAGGTGTGGAGGTGCTGCTGGGCAGAGCAGAGCGTGGCGTCCCTCTCATGCCGCTGTCCCCTCTTCAGGCTGTGACGACCTCATTGGTGCTGTCTTCGAGCTGGGGAGGACCCTGTGCCGCCTGCAGCTGTCGGACGAGGAGCTCGCGCTCTTCACCGCTGCCGTCCTGCTCTCCCCAGGTACGGGGGGCTCTGGGGAGGACCCCGGGGCTCACCGCAAAGCTGGGGGGAGCCGGCCCATAAACCTCAGCGCTGATGAATGATTTCAGTTATTCCTGGGAAAGGAGTTTAGGGGAAAAAAAGGCATCTAAAGATGCACAAAATCCATCTGCCAAAACTCCTTGGTGGGAGAAGGAGCTGTGTCACCCACAGTGGGATGGGGAGCATGGAGAGGGGCCACACGGCTGTGCCATCATCTCCAAAACCATTATGGAAAGCAGGAAAGGCTGAGAGTGCAGGGCCACTGCCCCGTGCTGGGGGACACCCTGACCTGGCGTCTCTCACAGATCGCCCGTGGCTGACGGAGTCCAAAAAGGTGCAGAAGCTCCAGGACAAGATCTACGTGGCCCTGCAGCATGAAATCCAGAAGAAACACTCCGCTGAGGACAAGCTCTCGAAGGTAGTGGCACTGCCCAGGGAACGCTCAGGCACAGGGTGTGCCAGGCGTGTCTGAGCTGGGGGACGTGGCTGGGGCAGAGTGAGCCACACACAGATGTTTTGGGGGTGAGCCCTGGACTCTGCTGGAGGAGGAGAAAAATTTCTCTTTCCAAGGGCTGAGAGTCTCCGTTGCAGTGTGGGTGGAGGCAGCCAGTGCTGCTGGGCCTGGCAGTGCAGCGGGAAGTGGGCATTTGGGGCAAAAGGAGCCATTCCAGGGAGGCTTTGGGCAATGCAGAGCTGGGGTGGGGAGGGGGGCACTGGGGGGCTCCTCGAGCCCTCCCTGGTGCTGGTTGTCCTGTGGAAGGGTGTGGGTTTGGGGGTGAGGCCATGATGCTGCCAGGCTGCCTAAAGCTGGGTGTCTGCTGATGCCCTGGCACTGGGCAGAGCCAGTGGTCCCCAAACCCACCTGCTTCTCCTCAGGGCAGGAGGAACGGTGACATCAGGAACACTAGCTCAGAACCCAGTGGTCACCAGTTCCTTCCTTCCCTGCAGATGGTTTCCAAGTTGCCCTTGATGAAGACCATTTGTAACCTGCACTTGGACAAGCTGGAATTTTTCCGCCTCCTGCACCCGGAAACTGCCATGAACTTCCCTCCCCTCTACAAGGAGGTTTTCAACTCAGAGCTTCAGTACAGCGACCCACGGGAGAGCTAAGGGCAGGAGCCACCAGCCCTCTTCGAGTTCCCCAAAACTTGGAGATGAACTACTCTTCAGAGGTTTGGGGCAATTTATTTAAATCAGCTAATCAAACTCAAGAGAACCCGAGGGGCTGAGGGTGTCCCCAGCCCCATCTCCTCGCTGTGGATTGCAATAGCTCTTGAATGTAAAGCACCTTGAAGGAAAAAGCAAATGGACTTTGCCATACCAGTGAAATGAATGTGAAATCTCTGCTCGGGAGAGGAGATGCTCCTGGCAGTGGTGAGGGACCAGC